CATTTAGTCTCTAAGTTTAGCGATTATTTATTGGTTTAATTGGTCTAAGTATTTACTATGAGCAAATCACATTTTATTTGGCTTCTTGTCCGCAGTAGTATGTATAATCTGCTATGAATATTTTAAATTATGTAAATCAGTATAACCAGATCAGTATAGTATGAGTGTGAAATACCTTTATTTTCTAATATCTGTTCTGGTGTTATGTATTACTGTATTATTAAGATTAGCATTGGAAATTATAGTGAATTAGCATGATATATTTTTAAAAAGATATTTTCACTCTATATATTTTAAAATCTTATGTTTAAATTATGATGTTTTATATCAGTACAGTTATGTGGTATTTACATTCATCCGTTCCCGGTTTAGCACAACAATGTATTGATCATGTATAAGGGTTATTAGAAAAGTGCGTACGTTTCTGTTAATTTTATATCAGTAAGTGTCATGCTTACTCCAAATGTTTAACCAATCAGGGCTAGAGTTAATACTTGGATCCGGATTTAACCATTTAACTATTAGATTTAACTATTACAGCTGTTCTTATAAATTCTGGGACAACTGGTAAAAATTTTGCCAAAATTAATTTGGCCAAATTTGATAAGCTTTTGATCTCGGGTATATAAGCTTTTGATTTCAATATATTATACTTTAGACAGTGTTTGCAAAATATGGACATGGACAATTTTGTACTAATAGACATAGACATTTATGAACTATGTCAATATTGTCCATATTTTTTTATTAGACATAGGGCACTTAGTCCAAATCAAACATGTAAGCTCCTGTTTTGAAATGTTCTAAATACAAAGGTCAAATACGATTAAGACTTTGTTAATTGGCTCAGAGAATTGCAACTCAAGTTGAGATTACAAAAAATCAGGACTTTATTCTTTTAGGTAAATTTTTTATATTTTTGTATTGTTATTCTTATTTACAATATCGATATGGCTTATATTTAATAAAAATTTTATAGGATAAAAAGAAAACCAGTATAAATTAAGTGAACTTAAGTGTTTAGCAATTATTTGAACTGGGAAGCCTTCTAAATTTTTTTCGACTATTTGTCAACGAATGAAATAATAAATAGTCTTGAAATTTAACTTTTTGCTATTTTTTACGTACAGTATATATGTACGATAATAGATAAGCTAATATTAATAATATCAGATGTATATATATTGTGTAATGGCTTATATTGTAACACCAAAATCAGTATTTACATTTGAACAAGAGCTTACGTGTCTAAGTGCTCTATGTCCAATGAAAAAATATAGACAATATGGACATAGTTTATAAATGTCCATGTCTATTGTCCATGTCTATATTTTGCAAACACTGTTTAAAGTATATCGAAATCAAAAGCTTATGCACCCAAGATCAAAAGCTTATCAAATTTGGCTGAATTAATTTTGGCAAAATTTTTATCAGTTGCCCCAGAATTTATGAAAACAGCTTTAACTCCAGATTTAGCCATTGGATCTGGATGTATGTGTAAAATCCGGATTTAAATATATGCAGACACATTCTGTTTCAGATATAAAGTGACAATACTAGATATAATTGTTAAATCCAGATTTAACAATTCCCTATAAAAAAAGTTTGTTCTGTTTTTGTTCTGTTTTTGTTTAGCTTTGTCGGTATTGTTCAAAAAATGTTCAAAACGGAGTCATTATTATAGTAAAAGCAGAACAAAAATCGTACATATTTTTATAATTGAAATATTTAAAAATATACAATTATTGTTCTGTTTTTATACTATAATGACTCTATTCTGAACTATTTTTGAACAATATTGACAAAAGCTAAACAAATGCAGACAAACTTTTTTTATAGGGATCAGATCTAATGATTAAAATTCGGATGTAAATAATTAAATCTGGACTAGGGTGTCCAGAATTCTGCAATTGCAGAGATTCTGCAAATTCTGCGGTGAATTTGCCGAATTTGCTAAATTCACCGAAATTGTCAAATACCATATCAGGAACGTAATATGTTTGCATCACGGAGTGTATGGTTTCCTGCCATCTAGAATGGCGAGTTCGCAAAATCTTGCATTTGATTGGGCATTAAAATCTATGATTTCGCATGTTAATGTGCTGTGCTGGTGTAATATACCACTACAGTTCTTGTATGAACATATCGTAATATTACTCTAAGATACATCATATGATGGAATGAAATCAGATAAAAATTTGAATTACAGAACACTGGAATATCAGTATGGTATAATGACCTGACAGTCTGGTATGGGGTGTAAAATAACTCATCCCATACTTATCAGCTATTATATATAATAGCTATTTAGTATGGTACAGTTTATAGTTTAAAAAACCATACCATACTGATTAGATATTATAATAAATTAAATTATTATATTGAATCAGTATAGTATGGTTTTTTTGTTGAAAATCTATACTATACTGACCTGGCTATAGATGACATTACTAAAATACTGAATTGCCCACCACCTCTTGAATGTGTGCTGGTTGGCGACATTAATTATTCAAAAAATTTGCGCAACCGATAAGTAAAATACAAATTATAATAAATTTTGATACCGTATACGTGGAAACAACGTTATTTGAAATCGTATCCTTCAAAAATAATATATATTGTCCCAAATTAGCACCCCGAATTAATGTGCATTCTAATGTCACAAATAATTTATTGTTTCAATAATACTCTATATATGCAAACTCTATAAATGCATTGCATATAATAATACAGCATAAGTGCGAAATAATGCCTGTTGTGATAGGCAACCTAGACACAGCACCACCCCCGAAATATTGAACCTAGGTGCCATACAAAAAATACGCAGCAGATCTTCAATTTTGATTGGCTAACGGCTGAAGATCTTCAAAATTTTGGTCCGCATTACAAAATTGTTTACCAAATTCCGGCTAAAATTAACTTTCTAATTTTTTTTTTTACAAAAATAAAAATTTTTAAAAAATAAGTATACATTATGGTAAAATTAACCCAGGAACAATTTTCACTTAATAGGCGGCTGTGATTTCATTAGTAAAATTACGAGTAATTCTGGCTAAATTTTTTTTAGTCAATCAAAATTGAGGATCTGGCACACAATTTTTGTGTGGCACCTAGGTTCAATACCCCGAAATTGGGCCCGGGACTCGCGCCTCTGTTGTGTTTCATCATAGACTTCCATATAGGTTGTGCGACTATTACTCCCTAACTTGTCTTTATTTTCGTACCATTAGATCAGCTGCTTTCATACTTTCAGGGTTTCTTTTAGCCAGTTTTCCTTGTTTTCTTGTACCAGAGGTGTTTTATATTTGGTAAAGCCATCCTCTTACTACAGCCCCTTACTATGTTCACTGCTTCTCTCACCACTTCTGGATATACCGCATATAGCCATCCTCCCAATCAAGATCCCAATGCTGCCTTAGGGTTGTTGGTGCTACCTTGCCAATCATGAATTCACACACACAGCCTTCTGCAGTAATACCTTCCGTGACCCATGTCACACACAGTGCCCAGTCTTCTCCATGGCTCGTGGCTCCTTCCAAGAATTCTTTATCGGCCAAATATGTATATTACATGGTCTTATCGCCACAGGGTTTCACATTCAAAAGCTTCCGTAGGTTACAGAGATAATTAATTAAATTAATTACCACCAGCTATAATCAAACCGTTGACCTCATCTGTGAAGGGTTAGGAGCCCAGACCACTAGGCTACAAGACCCTAACCCTATATATAAATTTTTATAATACAAAATTTAGTATAAAATAATTCAAAAAAATTTTGTTACTATATGCTAAATTTTATTTTACTTTTTAATTACTAAGAAGTTAACTAAAACGCGCCTATGGTGTTTTACACCTATGTATATGTGTTCTCAAAGACTAGCTAATTAATTGGTATGAAGTATTCTAAATAAAAATGTTTTATGCCCTTCCCAAACCCTAACGCTAACCCTAATACTAACCTTAACTTAAAAATTTGTATTAAAAATTTTATATACAAAATTTATAAAAACTTAGAAAAAAAATATATAATAGGTGTAAAACACCATAGGTGTGTTTTATAATAATTGAATTACTAAATTCTAATAAAAATAAATTAATATTTATAACAAATTATATACAAAACTTATAAAAGTGAATACTTTTAATAACTTTTATTATATTTAAGAGGTCATTTATTTGTAAAAAATATTTTTATTTATCAAAATTTAAAATTGAATTTTTTTAATTTATAAACAAACATTTACAATATAAGACATACAACAAGATGGTTTTTTCTTATCTAAGTAAATTAGAAAAGAAGGATAATATGTTGCGTTGAATAGCTTAAATGCAGTCTACAATCTTTAATTTCTTAAGAGCCAATAAATTTATATTCTACAGTCAACCCTCTATAAGTGCATCCCCCTTGGAACCATAGGCAAATTTTTCAAAAATGTGCGTATGCATTTATAGAGGGCATTTTATTAAGAGTTCTATATGTTTGGGACTGAATATTAGTGTGCATTTAGAGAGGGTATATCTAGTGCGTGCATTTATAGAGGGTGCATTTATGGAGGGTTGATTTATTATAAGTTTCCTATTTTAATTAGAAAAGTTCTGTTGCGATGACATTAAAAAAAATGCGATACATCACCAGTTGGATAAATAAATAAAATTAATAATATGAGCCAGCTTACATAATTATAGGTACATGTTAAAAAACTGATCATAGCCACTAAGTTCGATTTAAAACTCTATTTGAGTAAGTTTTGCTTCAATTTAGATAATCAAATATATAAGGTTATATTGAGCTAAAAAGGTTATATAAAAACTTCAAACTTTAATAAATATAAGTTATGATACCATAAAAAATACACATTTTTAATAGGTAAAAATGTATATACAAATCTACAATATTGTAAACGAATATACTTAATTTACAAGAATCGAAAAAGACTAAAATATTTAAATAAATAGAGCATCTTGACTATTTTTGACACAAAAACGTCCGAGTTGAGCAACTAAGTAAATAATTCCATAGGAGTAACGGCATCAAATACAACAGAACCTGATAATGTCACATCCCTTAGGAAATTCAATGGGAATAAAACTAAATGGCCTTTAATCTTTTGTAATTCTGCTTTGGTTTGTTCCATATTTTGTCTGGCTGATTCTGTTATGTGTCCGAGTGGAACCTTTTTACGATCCGGAACAAATGCATTAAATTCATCCCAGTTTGTGACTAATAATAAAATTCATGACACAATTAATAAATAACATATCATTCAAAACACATATTTACGATAAAATATTTACCAGTGTCATCTGGATAACAATGGAACACTTTACGGAAACTCTCAGTATTTTGACTAGCAGTATGCCACCAATATTTTTCATAAAATTCTTCTGAAAGAGGATCTTCAACAATTCTATCTGCGTGACTAAGGTTTTGAGGATCAACAGGGTAATCAGATTCAATAGGTGGTGGATGAGAGTGAGTGTTAACTTCGTCATGGCTTTCATAGACTTCTAAACCAAGATGCTGCTTGAAGATGTGACGACGAAGTGTGGCGGCAAATTTTCCAGCTTGCCACTGTAAACAAATTAAACAATATTATGTGCTTAGAAATTATGCACATCAATATTAAATTTAAATTTAACAAAATTACAGTACATATCCTCCAGCCATACGAGACTGTATATAATTTTTATCTTCAATAACAGCAGCAATTTCTGAATCATGATCACCATTTTGCGATCTATCGTTCAAATTGGCTTCATAATAGATAGTCACACCCAAATTAGCTATTAATTGAATATCGAAGAAACAATGTATGAAACTCAACAAACCTGAACCCATGATAACAATTCTGTCATCAGCAATCAAGAGTTTTGAGTGAATATATAACTCTTCAGTAACATAAGTGCAATCATTTTCATCAATATGAGGTCTCTGGTGGTGGTGCTGCTGAGATTTTGAATATTTATAATCTTTAAAGGAAGGGTCAGCATTTGGATTATCGTACCATTTTTCGAGAGCTGGAGCATCGATTTCGTAATCTAGAACACCAAGACCACATTTGACAGCTGGGTGGACAATTTTATCATAATTTCGAAGTGCATAGAAACCAATGTAATCATGTGGATTAGCACAACCAGATTTAATTAAAGTTTCGATGATAGAATGACCTCCACGACAAATAGACGTATATTGGTAATGCATGACGAGACTTAAATTAGCAGAATAAGTTAGTTAGCAGGAATATAAATTATTAATTTCGATTAAAATTATTTAAATAATTTCACTTACCGAGGTACACCGGCATCAGAAGAATTAAGTTCAGCAGGGAAACCCGGAATCAATGGCATTATAACAATAACTCTGAATTTTTCATTATTTTTGTGGGCTCTTAAAATTCTATCTACAATAGCCTATAAGAGATACGAACTTAACAATAAATATATAATTTAATGTATATTCAATAGAATATTTACCTTTCCGATTTGATTCTTGACAGGAAAATCTGCAGAGTATTTTGTCGCAGTAACTATTTGAAAATAAATGAATATGATTACGAGATGTTTATGGAAAAATAATGTCCTCAAAATATGTAAAGACTTACTGAAGAATTGATTTTCGATATAAATAAAGTGCTTAGCGTTTGTAATAACATCAATGTAAGCATTCTGGATAGAATGCTATAAAAGAAAACACATTTTTACAAAGAATATGTTAACATGATAATTACTGTAAAAAATATAACAAACATTCAATTACCTCAGTTTGACTAAGACCGAGACTCCAAGCGGCGCTACTTCTCAAAACTTGAATACAACAAGTACCCTCGTCTGGGTGTAAATTTACGGTTTTTCCACAAGAAGTGTATTCTCTTACTAGGGAGTTATGCTCCTTCATGTACTCACGATTGTACTGAGCATCGGACTTAGCAATCAAGACAGGATATATAATTTTGTTTTCATTCTTTTTCTTTTTAATAAAATTCCAACGCTGAATAAAATGTTCAGCAACATCTTGTGCCGGTTTTCCAACCTATAATTATTAAAAATTTGATGAAAAAAATAATTAATAAATTTAGAAGGAAATGATTGTTTAATATATGAAAATGATACTAACAAAACCCATTGAGACATCTTGCCATGGCATACGTGCAACGTAATTTTTGTCAATTAATTTTGAAAAGCACTTATCCACTAAAAAAAAGATGCACAAATTAACATGAAAAATCCAGCTATATGATACATTCAAACAAGATAAGTGTTCATACCTTCAATAAAATCAAAGACTCTTGGATTGGAATAATCTTGACCGGGCCAGATGGAATAGTAGTCGGATATTTTAGAAAAGTCAGCAAGTTGGTGTCTACCTGTATCATAACGACCAAGGCACAAGTCCAATCCACCAATGAAGGCAATATGGCGATCAATAACACAAATTTTCTAAATAATAGAGTTTAGATGATTAAGAACTTTAGAGCTTTACGAAATTAAGAAAGCATTTTAATATAATATAAATTTAAAAGGGATTACCTCATGATGCTAAAAATAATAGAAATTGGATTATTTTGATATCTAAATAATGAAAGAGAATCAAAATAAAAATATATTTACCGCCCAAAAGAATGTACCATCAATTCCATGAGCAGGATGTCTTTGCACTATACACGTAATATAGTATTAATACTCTCTCAGATACGTAAATATATATCCAAAAGAATCTTATCAAGAATCTTACCAAGAATATTTTCATCCAGCTCACTTATTAAAACCTGTTTACTATGTTTTGAGTTCAAAGTCAAGGCTTGCTCCAGTTCTCTATAAAGGACGACATAAACTTTTACGCCTTCCTTTGCTTTCCTCTTAAGAAGTTTATCAAGCCGAAAGTGCTCATTCTTGTAAGGAGGTCTACGAAGATACTAATTCCAAATTAAAGATATATCACAAATATTGAGATATGAGTAATACTGTAGCGCTGATTATAAACCCTGGAAATACAGTCAACCCTCCGTAAATGCACCTCCCTTAGGAGTATGGGTTTTCAAAATGTGTGTTTAGGGTGCACATTTATAGAAGACATTTTGTTAAGAGTTCTATATGCCTTGGGTTGAATATGAACATGCATTTAGAGAGGGTATACATAGTGAATGAATTATGGAAGGTTGACTGTATATCAATCGTCGCATACAAAATTCAGAACCAAGATTGCAACTTTTTTTTTTATCATATCAAAATTAACTAAACTAACCAACTCAGGAGAAAGCCACCAATCTTCGATGAAGATCTCCCTTTTAGCATTAGAGATGGCCTCTGAAACGGCATAAAAGTAATCCTTGCCATTGACATACCATTTCGCAAAAGCTTTTTCTCTAACCTTTGCGAATGAATCATAACGAAAGGTCTTTGGAATATCTGCAGGTGATGAACTTTCACCCGCAAAAAAGTTTACGACCTTAGTAGCAGTTTCTTCTATAAAGTCCACCATAATCAAAAACTTTTTATACACTCGTTAAAAAAAATAAACGGAAAATTGGCAAAAATAATGTAAGAAGAGAGTAAAAGTTCACTCTGAGAAATTCCCACATCTTAATCAATCCATTTATTTGTTATCGACGATCTAAACTGCAGTCCACTTCCTAATTCAGTCTTTGTGAACACTAACCAAACTACTTGCGACTAAAACTAAGTGCCAATTAGTATCACATTGGTTTTTTATCTTGTTGCTGAATCCATATGGTACTAATTGTAACATGGTTTGGCGTCCTATCCATCGATGATTTTCGATCTAAGAACCTAAAAAGGTCGTATTCATCGGTAGTTAGTTCATTATAAAGGTTCAAAAACGGTATTAATATTAATCAATTAACTAAATCTTCAATGACTTCAATGATCTAAAATTTATCATGAGTCATACACGTTTTTTATTGCTAATGATACAGAAAATGACTTATGGTGAAAAATTAATAATGAAATTGATAACAAGACTTATAACAAAATCAATAATGAAATTAATTAAATTATAATTTATCAGTTATTACTATATTATCCAATTTACACATTTATCCATTAACTTGCATTTTCGGGTGCTATTTTTTGGCGTTAGATATTTTTCTATTTTATAACATATAACGATAAAAAGTTCAACACCAATCTGGATATATGCATATCCGGTTGAATTTGTATAAAATTGGCAAATGCGGATAAAACAATTAAGTACATACGTATGTACGCGCCTCATACAGTACGTAAAAAGTGTAACAATAGCACTATTGTGCTTTACTCTTACCAGTATTAGAGGCACTCCTTGCCTAATAACTATTACATAGTTTGCATTTAAAAAATCATTATAGCTAGTGTTTAATTTTTCTACCGTGCAAATGTCATTTCACACACAAAAGGATAAAGAATATGAAAGGGAGTGAATGAATAGAAGAAACGAACATGCATGAGAATTAGCTTCAGCCGTATTACGATATATAACATACATATTTACCATGGAAGTTTAAAAAAAATTAATGTAGTCATACCAAAAAAGGAATTCGCAGAGCGAGAACAAATTCACTTATTAAATTAATAATGGGTTAGGATTAGGACGGTATTACAGTATTAGAGCTAACTTCAAAGTAGGTTTAGATATCCATTTCTTGTATTTTTTATTTTTTCTATTTTCAGTTAGACATTTAACAACTTGACCCCTCAATGATTGATCAACATGTCCTGCTGCTTCTCGCTGACGTTATTTTAATATTACCATTTTTATTATTTTTATACAATTACTCTAGCATTACTTATTCAATCTTGTATACACAGCTTTTATTTAGCGTTTTACCACTAAAATAAGCACATGCACATATGATGACAGAAATTCGTAATATAGTTTATTATAGTGGAATAACGATATCACAAGACCAAAGAAAAAAAAAGTTACAAATACAACAATAAATGCTTGACCTTTTGAATGATTAAATAAATGAAGGTTTTCTTGTTTATAGCTGAACATTGCACAGCATTTAATTTACTATTTGTTGTATACAAATAATGAAATTGATATTTGTAAGATATCTTGACAACTACCAGGTCAAATTCAAATAAAAAAGCTTATCGAATTTAGCTTGGTGATTGTTGAGATATATTAGTGGAAATAAAATAATTATTTTATTTCCACTTAGGTTAGGTTATGGTGTAGTGGTATGCGTGGTTTGTGAATCGCACGTTCGAGAAGCATTGTGTGTCCGGAGCTAATATAATCGATCATATTACAACCAATCAGAATCTCGGAAGTGAACGGGCAGAATTTTTCACGTGACGGTGTTTCACTTACTGTTGTAAAAACATAGTGTCCTCCGCTTCGCTCCGGACAATTATATTCACAAATTGTCACGTGACTGTGTTCCTAATATGCCTCAGGTTATGATGTAGTACGAGGAGTTTGTAGATTGCGCGTTCGAGGTATATTATTATAATCATGAATTGTCCTGTGCTGTGCTTCTAATATGCCTTTAGGTTATGTGGATTACGTGTTCATATTATTTTGATAGTTAATATGATCCTGAATCTTATTATAAAAGATTATGATGGTGCTATGATAGGTTTGTGAATTGTACATTCAATATGGGTGGATTGATAGTATATTTAAGAAATACGTTATTTGGTTGTTATTTTAAGTCAACAATTCAGTAGATTTTTGGAATTTGATTTTTATTTAAATCCTCTAAATTTACAAACAAAAAATTACGAATTTGCTACGTAATACTGTACTAATTATTATCCGGCAGCTTATTATGATTCGTCTGCCCAATAAATTTATTATTCGGCAGAAACTACATAGTTGCCGAATAATAAAATTGTTATTGGGCAGACTATCGTCATAAGTTACCGGATAAATCCGTTATCAATCATGCAGATGCCTTATAACTTAATTATTTGGTCAAATGATTTAAAGTCAGCCTAAGAAGTTGAATTCCTTCGGAATTCAATTTCTTAGTCTGATTTTAAATCTTTGACCAAATAAACCAGTTATCAGGCAGTGCCTGCCTGATAACTATTAAGTATTGGAATCTAAAAATAAGTAATATAATTTTCTTGGTGTTACTTATTATTAAATTCCTAACACTGATATTTTGTAAAATTTGATTTTGTAAATTTTAGGTGATTTAAACAAAGTCAAATAAAAAAAAAATCAAATAATAACGAGAAATAATAAATTAACTAAAAACATAAAAAAAATAATTTAAATGAAAAACAAATAAATTAAGTAAAAAACAAAAAAAGAGCAACTTAAATAAAACCTGAAAAAGAAAAAATTAAACATAAATTAAATACTGTAATAAAAAATTTATAAACACAAATATACTTTTTTATTTTTATTACATCACTTAACATTACTAAATTAATCAGAAATATATCAATTATATACCTTATTACTTTTGACACTTATGATACTAATTGTCGCGTAGTTTCCAAGACTACCTTATACTCGTGGGTCTTTACTATCAATCTTCACTCGCTTGGCAATTAAACGATGACTGGAGTATCGTACCACTAAGTGTCAAGAACGAAAGTTAGGCACTTCCCCTATTCGATGCCTTTTATTAATTACTATTTGCGTCACTTATTATTACAGACATTCTCATCGCTAATGATTACTACATTATTCATGCAATACTAATCGCTTCTGATTATTACATTGTTCATGCAATCACTAAATTAAACTTTTAATTAAATCGTGATCACGCCATTCATGCTAACCCCGATCCCAATATTCGATCACCACGTACCCGATCACTGGTCACCTGGGTACCCTGGCGCTACAAGTACATGGGGTATTGACAAACACCGCGACACTAATTTTGACTTTAGATATTGACCATTAGTTTCAATATAAATTTTAGCTTTAGACAATGCCACATGCCAAAATTCAGGTAAAATAATTTTTTTGTTTCTAGTATTTATATAAAAAAAATTCAAAAGCCCAATTTTCATCATTATTATACATAGAATTAACTTTTTAAATAAGACACATCATATCACACTGGGGTGGGCGGTCAACTATGTAAATCAAAATTATATGTGGTATCATATAAAAATTAATTATTGAAGATTTTTTTTGATTAGAATAGTGATTGAGATTATTTATCACTTTACATATGTATTTTAATAGTAAAGAATGACTTGAATGTTTTTAGATGTCTAGAGCAAATTGCTCTACTTTTTAGCGTAAACCTATTCTTAAACGCGTTTATAACAACGTTACGTTGGAATTTTTTAACGTTAATATTTAAATTTCGAATTTACTCTTTACAAAAATTGTGAACTATTAAAAAAAGAGATATTTTTGTTGCAGGTAAAAAAAAATTCAATACTAGAACCTAAAATCTTTTGACGTAACTTTATTATAAACGTGTTTAAGAATAGATTTGTGCTAAAATAATTTTAAAAAGTAAAGCGAATCGCTCTAGGCATCTAAAAGCATTCAAGTCATTCTTTAATATTAAAATATGATAAATAATCTCAATCACTATTCTGATCACTAAATTCAAAAAAAATCTTTAATAATTATTTTTTATATGATACCACGCATAGTTTTGATTTACATAGTTGACCGCCCACCCCAATATCACACCATATTAGAAAGTTAAAAACAAAGAAAGAGTCAGAAAGCTTTTTGCTTATCAAATTGATTTCAAGCTCAATTTAAACACGATGAGTTTTAGCATTGCACTCCAAAAATTTCACCGGCCAATCAGATTTCAAGAAAAATTACTTATTAAACCACCTTCTGTGTACTAACAAAATGTTTTCTTGTGAAATTTTTGGGCTTATTTAATAGCAAAATATAACACTAATATTATGCTTTTAGGTAATGCTAGAAGAGTTAAAATAATTACTTTACATACAATCATATCGATATCAACAAAGTTTGACTATTACTACATTTGGAGTTATAATTTAATTTTTAAAAGTATACCAAATACTGATAGTTTGATCAGCGCTATTCCAGTATTCATGCTATATACATAAAATTACAATACTACCCGGAATTAGGCTGGTGTTATAATATAATTTAGCCCGACTTGATAATGCCGGCAATAACATTATTCTGTGTAATTGAATTTTGTTAACATAAAAGATGCCCATTAGCCAATAGCGTATCTTTCTTTATTCATGGGAAAAGTACTAGTTATCGGTCAGGTCATCTACTAAAGACTCGACTAAGTACTGAAGTATACAATATTGGGCAAAAATTGTCGAATAACGGTAATTTGGCAAATGAGCACCTGCCGCTTTGCGGCACGTGTAGCCAATCATTTGTCGAATTACCGTATTCGACAATTTGCCCAATATTGGTGTTATCCGGCAATTTATGATCATGATTGGTAGGGAGTCGCTCGCTGAGTTTTATTTTTTGAATATTGGAATAACATAATTATATCGTAACACATGAAAAAAATAACAAGAAGAAATTTTTTCATGATCATATGAGTT